GGATTGGGGCCGGTACGTGCATGTAGATTAAGTTCCCGAAATTTCAGCCCCGCAGCTTTTATAGGTTTTGAGATGAAAGTGCATGACAGACGCACACACAGACACACAAACACACGGACACACAGACAACCCCTCGTCAATATGCATTTTTTGCGCTGCATAGCTGCAAAAAGAGCATAAAAATAGATAAGATTTATAAATGATCATTTATGTGTCCAATAATTTTAAAATTTTGCAGGGTACTGGCTGCTACAGTTATGTTGGCCGTATTTGGTACTGGAAGAAGCAGCCGCTTTCGATTGACTCCAAATGTGAACATGTTAGTGACCTAACTGCATTTATCAAATAACAGAAGCACTCTCGATTCTATTCAATTTCCAGTGACCGCCCGGACATAATTTTGTATTCCAACATCACTACCGTGGTACTGGTGAGCTCAAATTGTGGTGCTATATGGGGCTGTATGCGAGTTAATAGACCGAAATATTCTTATCCATTCGACTTTTCAGTGCTTTTTTCTAATAAATATATATATATATATACATATATATATATATATATATGCGACTAACAATATTCTTATTAACTCGCATCAGCCATGTTACTGGTATTTTCCAATGCATAGGATCCAGCCATGCTGGACCCTTTGTTCTTGGACTGTGCACCTCTAGTTAGTATCAACCGCCTGATATGTGTTTCCAAAAATATTTTATGTATTTCTGAAGTATTTAAGATTCACACAATGGCGCATGAATTAGGCCATGCACTCGGTTTTCTGCATACGCACAATCGCGCTGATCGTGATCAGTATATATCAGTGAATTTCACCAACGTTAAGGTATGGAACCATTTTATAGTTTGTGGATTCTTGAGCACTTTATCAAAACAGTGCATTTTTTAACGAAATTTCATAATTTCTCAAATCCGTGCTTGGACTTCGCCTATCGATTAAGGTGGTTGTCCCACTGATGAAGTGCAAAAAGGCATATTTTTGAAATGGCGTTTTTTCCTGGAAATAGAAACACTCTGTAATGCGATCGTCCTTCGTATCATGTTATACTCAATTTTTTTTTTTTTTGATGATTTATGAACAAATCTGCATGAACGGAATAAAATTTCAAAAAAGCACTACGGCTGAAAACCAAAGAAGCCGTAGTGCTTCTCTGGTTCATAACTAAGTTTTTATCCCTAGAAAACTGCGGTGTTCGGTATTCCATTTCTAAGAAAAAAAAGTTTGAATTAATAGGCGAACAAAGTACCATATTCATTTTATTGTTTTAACTCTCGAAATATTTCAGGACAGCTTAACTGGAAATTTTAAGAAGGTTTCAAGAACTATCAATTACAACTATGGATTGCCGTATGATTATGGAAGCGTAATGCATTACAGCAAGAAATCGTAAATTTAATTATTTAGTAAAAGATTTAGTAAAAAATTACACCCATTCTGCTCGTTTTTATAAGTGTTCAATTAACACTTTTTCCGTCTAATATTCTCAGTGACTTTGAATATCCTTAAATTCAAATATCTCTTAAAAGACGTATTTTCCTTTGTTTACTTAGCTCATTTATTGAATATTAAATATATTTTCCGTCAGCTGACTTCATTTTTAAGTTTGTTGGTCCGTTAAATTAACAAATCTTTATTCAAACCACAAAAAAAACCCAGTGGAAACATCGATACAGGGCTCCCTACAGTCCTTGAGCACCAATCAATACAAAGATAAAGCAAATAATCCAGACACATTTTTCCGTCGCTGACGATTTCTACGCGACGCTGGTACACCACTGATGACACCGATGCAATACTTATTCCCCACTGGTCGGTTCTGCTTTATATAGGCAAATCATGTTTCGAGTGCTTGCCTCTTATCCACATTGCACCACTGTGATCATAATAAATATTCAATATGAATTTAATTCCAGTTTTTCGGCAAACGGTGGCTCAACGATAATTTCGCACGCTCCTTTTCACGAGGATACAATGGGAAGTGGCACTGGACCGTCCTTCATCGACAT